TTCTGGTCTGATATTTTTTCTCCTTTAAAATCTGGAATGTGTCACTGCATTCTCTTCTGGTCTGTAAAAATTTCTCTGAGAGGTCAGCTGTGAGTCTGATTGAGGTTCCTCAATATGTTAATTAATTTTTTCATGTGCATTATAAGGATATTTCTCTGTGTTCAACTGAAGATATCTTGAAAATCATGTGTTGTGGTGAAGATCATTTTTAGTCAATCTTGTTGGGAATTCTGTGCCTCTCCTGTATTTTGTTTCTCAATTCTTTCTTCAACTTAGAGAAGTTTTCGTTTATTGTTTCATTGAATACATCTCTAAACCAAACTTCTCTTTCTGTGTCTTCTGGAACTCCAATAACTCTTATATTCAGCCTTTTAATAGTGTCCCTTTATTCTTGAATACTTTTTTTAAGCTTGACTTAATTCCTCTGCCAACTTTTCATTATTATTATTATTGTTTTTCTATTGAAAGCAATATCTTCCAATTCTGACAGTCTTTGCTCTGCCTCATTCATTCAGTTGTGGGGGACTTTTCACTGAATTTTTAAATTGTTCCATTGTGTCCTACATTTCTAATCATTTGAATTGATAAATAAATTAATTCAGATTGATAAATAAAAGTGTTACTGTTTCCTGTGTGACATATTCCTTAAACTCCTTGAGAACTCCTATATGTACTTCTCATTGTTGTTAAAAAGCTTTGTACCTAGGTTTTTAAAATTATTTAACCATCATTTCCTCAATATCTTCCTCAGTTAACTGAGATTGATAAAGGCTTTTGCTCCTTTGCAGGGGAGTCTTCAGCAATATTCATGGTACCACTGTGCCTTCTTTTGCTCTTGGTCAGTGCACTTCTGGTTAGCAGATTCTTCTCATTCTGGTTCAACATATTGCATAGGTCTCATAGGTAAAAATAGTACTGACTTGAAATCCTACATTTTCCACCCAAAACAGGTCTTGATGACCTTCAGATCTGACAACCAACAGGTTCTGGCAAGATCAACTCTGCTGACAAACCAGTGATTTATGAGAGCTTGAGTTTCCCTGTTCCCAAGCACTACTGACACTGAGAATGGGAGAAAGGCTGTGTCAGCACTGTGCAGCCACAGCTTAGAGTCACAGGGGGTGAATAGGTGTGAGCCAGGAGCTGAGACCATGTGGACCATGATGGAAGCCTAGAACAAGAGGCAGGCCAGGCAAAAGTGACTGCAAAGGAAGAACTGGGCACTGAACACACTCAGTTAAATCAATCTGTAGACCAGTGGGCAATAAAATGCTACTCTAAGGAAATCTATGGAAAAAAAGATAAAAACCCAGTTAGGTAAAGAGAAATAAATAAATAAAACAACCTCTTATTCTTAAAAAATCATTTAAAATTAACATAATACTTGGTATATTATAGCTAAAATTTATTAATATATAAATATGCATTTATAAATATTTTATTTTAATTATTTTAAGTTCCAATTATAAACAGAATTGTTTAATTGCTTATTAATATAATCAATCAGGTGAACAAATATCCCAAATATATATTAAGTTTTTACTATCGAAAACTTTCTGGTTTATAGCCTGCATTATTTAGCTACTTATTCATCAAGGACATACACAAAAAAGCTTAAAATTTGTGCCTAATAACGTATTTAAAATCATTCCTGTTTGCTCTAATATTTAGTCTTGTTACAAATTGCAGAGCATGTGGTGGCAATTGGCAATTAAATTTGGATCTCCCAATACTTAGTTGCATCTGTCTTGGGAAATGCATTATGTGTATGTGTATGAATGTATGTGTATATATGTGTGTGTATATGTATATATACATATGTATATAAATATAAATATAAATATATACACACACATACACTCCAGGTTAACAGATAAAATGGTTACTGTTTACTCTTTTTGGATTTGTAAGAACTGGAATTACAACACTGAAAATGACCTAGGTTTCAGAAATAAAGTAGAATATTATGGAATAAAAACAGAAAGCAAAGCCCTATGCTCATTTCACAGTCTGAATTCTTTTCTAGAAGCAAAAATATTACCATTCTAAGAATAAGTTGATTTTCAACTCTGTGAACAAAGTGTTGCAAAAAAAAAATGAAAAAAAAATAGACTCCAAATCTTTAATCTTTCACCTTAAGGATTTCAAACTTCATACATTGTCAAAAATCCCTGTTCATAACATTGAGATTGCCATTTGTACAGGGTTGTCGATCACCAATAAAGTACAATTACCAGCCCACTTCTGCACTCATGTGCCAAAAAGGGAAGAATTTGCACAAGTTAGAATTTTGTGCAGCTTAGGGTCCACAGAGTGGTACACCTGGTAAAGCTGGCACCTCCAAAACTGGCTTCCCATATGAGGCCTGACTGGGATCCCAGCCACTCCACTTTCAATGCAAATCCCTGTCAATGTGCTTGGGAAGACAGTGGAAAATGGCAAAAGCACTCGTGACCGTTCGCCTACATGGGAGACCAGGCTGGTGCTTCAGGCACACATGTTCAGGCAAGCCAAGCCCTAGTCAACGTGATCATTTAATGTAAGCTCACCACAGTCAACTGTGTTTTTAAAATAAAACAGAATATTCCCGTTGTTCTGAATAGCATCATGACCAAAAATACACCCTGGATTTCCCCTCCTCACCAGAAGATCACACTTTGTCTAATTTTGGTCCAGTTTCCTTGCATAAATTACCATTTTCTATTCTGAAAAGGCAGTAACTTCCCATAGCACCCTCCGGCCCTCTGTTAGCACTGATTTAGTTCAGCTCAGGTTGCTACTTCCATTTTCAACACTGGACTGTGTTAATGTGTGTACCTCTGAGGGGAGACACTCCACTGCTTCTTCAGGGGGGTATTGTCCCAAGCTGTGTTCTCACTGGCTATGTTCCATTGGTGCAAATTCTAACAGCCCAAGGAGGCTCTCAGTAGAGGGTTTCTCCAACTCTGCCAGCACTGAGCAGTCATCTCAATGAAGTGATCTTATTAGGTACCTTTAGTTTTATGTTACACAAGTATGCACATGCTTTTGCAATTTGGACCCTGTTGGCACAGGTCAAGTTATCTAGCACTTTTAACTTTTGTTTCTATATAAATAATTTCATAGGGAAAGCCTTTTACTAATTAGCATTAAAAGAGGCAAAGATTATAGAAGTTAAAACCATGAAATTGGGTAACATCTTGTTTGAAACCATTTGTTCTTGAGCTATGCAGTGCACAAGAAGTTTGTCTCTCTCAAAACCTATTTTGTTTGCAGAGGAGTATTTTAGTATAGTATTACACAGATCTCAGCACTATTTCATTAAACCTAGAAATCCAGGTAGGGAGATGCTGGGTGGGTGCTCCCTCTTATACAACTCATGGAGAACTCATGAGCACCTGGAGAATTAACATGATTTGTTTTGTTTGTTTGCTGGTAATTAGCCATCCTGATTCATTGTCACTCAGGAACCCTGTAAAAAACTGTGGACTTTGTCTCTCATGGTATGACCATTTGGATAAAGGTTATTGACAACATGGACCACATTTCCCAAAGAATTCTAGAATCTCATTATACTCAGAATAGGTGGTGGTGGGCCTGTTTTGTGACTGTTTCTCTCATTTTCAAGGTCCAAATCTATAACTGAATAGTGAAAAGGTCTATTTTTCATCGTAGAAAAGGTTAATAAACAACTGTCGACAAATCATGTTTAATAGAATGTAAGTAAGAATTCTGTGAATCATAGGAATAATTCTTTCAAAATATATTTATTATGCCTGCTTGTAATCTATTTCATTTAACCATCAGAATGAATGCATCAACTAAACATCATTTCTTTTACATATAGACAAGGAAGAAGATGTTTTGAAATGCTCATGATTCCCTTATAATGATATAGCTTGGCAGGGAACAAGGTTACATCCCAGTGTCCTCTCTATCTAAACATAACTCCTCCATTCCACTTAGTTCTCAAAAAATTTAGCTGAAGCACACATTTATGATATGTGATTCATCACCTCCCATGCTATGTACAGGCTTATTTACAGAATCACCGTAACAGGAACCTAAAGTGATCCCTTCCAGACTTCATGAGTTCTGTGCTATCTTCCATGGACATCACTAGTAAAACGCCTCTTTTCTCCTTGTTCCGTATCCCTGCAGATTCACCGTGGGTGAGAATTCATGTGGTGTCCTCCACTGTTGTTTCTAGGGGATATTTTACACAAGTTTGGAATAATGAATTCCTTCATTCTAAAAGTATTGTTCAATTAGTGGATAATTAATGAGACCTTCCTATGTGGAGACAATGTATGAGGAAAATAATAAATAAAGCTTTTTCAGCAGTAAGTAAATGGAAATTTTAAAGTTAGTTTGTGTCTTATATAGGCTTGCTACAATAATTCTAAACAAGCCAAAGCCAACAAGTTGATGTTTGTAACATTAAACCCTTGATCTCACATTTAGTAGGTATGACTTGAGTACCCCTCAACATTTGACTTGGCTTGGATGGGCTGTGGTTGGGTGAACACCAATGACTACTTTGGCAATCAGGTAGAGGGAGTTCTGGGTAAAGAATGCCTTTACGTGGACACTTAACTACAACATGTTACAGTATAAACAAAGCCACCCACTCTTTAATTCCAAAGTAACTTATAATAACCATGAGATTATTCTGTAGTAATCAGTAATAGTCACTATTTTGATTTGTCCTGAGTTTAAAATAATAGATATTTTAAAGAATTATATGGATAGAATCCAAAGCTGCTATTCAAAGTCAATGCAGTATTTTATATTAATCGTTAAATTTGTTTAGTCAAAATAAAAATTTACACTGTGAAACCATATTTCCACTTTCAAAATTTTTGAAAGCAAGCATATACTCTACATCATAACTTATATTATAAAAATAAGATAGTGAGGCAGAGGTGAAGGCCCTTTCAAAGTGAGTGAGTCTTGGAATCCCCCTCTTCTTGCAATCCTGGGAATACGGCAGAAGTGATTTTTTTTTCTCTCAATGAAATGTTAACACGGGACAAAGATCTACATCATCCACCAAGATTGGAAAATTTATGAACCCCACAGACATGCCCAAAAGGAAGTCGGAAGAGATAAAGAACAAAAACCAATGCATGGTGGTGCGAGCATGCAGGTGAAGGTTCCTGAACAGATTATCCAGGACAATTGGATGAAATGGAGTTTAACCCATTGCAACAGCCACTGTTAAATGAGAAAGTACTGAAAGACAAGTGTAAAAAGCTGTGTGAAAATATGAGTGTATTCTCCAACTTTATAAAAAAGAGGATCCAGATATTTATAAAGAATTGAGAAAACTAGAAGTGAATATGAACAAAAAATTGTTCAGCTTAGCCAGTATTTTGATGCTGTTAAGAATGCATGTGGACATGGGGAGTATTCCCTTGCCAGATATACAATATGCTGCTTCCAACATCTTGATCCAGGACATTACACTTCCTGGTGCCCAGCCATCCTCCACCCTATTGACCTCCACCCAAGGCAGTTTCTGTAATCAATCTTCATGGATATGGTGTTTCACGTTTGCCCTTTGGAAGAAAACCTCCCGGCCCCCCCTCTGGTCCATTGCCACCTTAGGTCTTACTGGTGTGTGGCTGCAAAGTGGGCTTTGCCTTGGATCTTCCCCCTTGTGGGCAAGATCTTCATCATGCTGTGTAGTCCTGAACTTGTTCAGCGGGGTCATGATAAGGATGTTTCCATCACAAGTGAAGATTATGGCTATCCTGAGGCCATGGATCAGGATAAACAGCACCAATGGTAGTGACACTGACAGATCAGATGGAGAAAGTGAGGAGGATGAATTTGTGCATCGTAGTGACAATGAATGAGACAACAATGAAGAAAACAAATCAGGTCTGAGTGTATGATTTCCTGATATGCCTGGAAAATCGAGGAAGAAAGAGAAGAGCATGAAAGAGTTGATGCCTCTTAAAGCCATGATGCTCAGAATGGCAGGTCAGGAAATCCTTGAGGAGGGAAGAGAAGTAGAGGAATTTTCCGAGGATGATGATGATGATTCTGCAGCAGAAAAGCAATCACACAGCAGCGTAAGAAGATTCCCATTCTGATGGCAATCTTCATCCTTGAAGCAGCAGACTCCTCCTCCCCAGTCTGTTCCTTCCTCTCGGATTCAAACACCTCCTATGCCAGAATCCCATCCTACTGACCAACCACCTGCTCTACCTTTACCACCTCCTGGAACACCTACCAGTCTTCCTTCTGCTCCAACGCCAAAGGATCATCTATTCTTGGAACAACCTGGAATGCCAGGAATCTGAGGGCCTTTATCCCAACATTTACTTCCAGGTTCACCACCAGGTCCCCCTCCTGGCTCTCTCCGAAGTGAGCCCCCAGGTCTTCCTGCTGGCCCTCTGCCTCAGGGACCCCCACCAAGGATACCTCCTCCTGTACCTCCAGGCATCCCTCCACTTTGTCCTATCCTGATGCACCCACCTCCGGTGCCTCCACTTGGACCGAACCCACCTGGACTTTTCCTACCAGCTCCCTTGCCCAACTCAGAGGTTTTGAGTGTCTACACAGTTTAATCCAGCAACCCAAGGTGGATGATACAAGTGAAGCCACCACTGCGAAGAAAGCCACGGTGATCATTAGTGCCAAGCCACAAATCACTAACCCTAAGGCAGAGAATACTTGATTTGTGCCCACTGCATTGAAAGTGTGTCAGGAGAGTAAATGTGCTTCTGCATGCAAACAAAGTCAGGGGAGGATTCTACTGTGCCTCTTGCCAAAGCAGCTCCCAAGTCTGGTCCTGCTGCTGCTTTGTCCATGCAAATCAAGGATGATGTTTATGAGGCTTTGAAGAGATGGAAGGACTGCTGTGACAGCCTTAAAGCCAGAGCAGGCTTCTACAGGATAGCGGCTCATGGAGAAAGAGTTCTTATTAAACATAGGCAAAAGAGCTACTTCTGTTGTCAGGGTAGTTTTTTTTTCAAAGATTTATTTATTTTTATCAGATAGTCAGATATACAGAGAGGAGAGAAAGAAGAAAATCTCTCACCCATCCTGAATTCACTCCCCAAGCAGCTGCAATGGCCAAAGCTGAGCCAATCCAAAGCTGAGCCAGTCTGAAGCCAGGAGCCCAAAGCCTCTTCTGGATCTCCCAAGCGGGTGCACGATCCCAAGGCTTTGTGCCATCTTCGACTGCTTTCCCAAGCAACAAGCAAAGAGCTGGATGGGAAGCAGGGCTGCCTGGATACTAACCGGTGCCCATATGGCATCCCAGCACATGCAAGGCAAGAATTTTAGCTGCTGTGCTACCACACCAGGTCCTGTCAGAGTATTTTCTAATTTCAAATCAAGGAATATCCTGAAGTTTAATCTTGTTCAGAATCTACTGCATATTTGAGAGTGGGTCTTGCAACCAGAATAAATGAGCTGTTGAAGCAGTGCTGCTAGCATCCATCCCTGTCACATCACCATTTCATCCTGTGTCTTCCCTTCTCAGGTCTTTAGAAACTTGTGATTAGGGGAATCTTAGCTATTATTTGTTCTGACTCTTGCGAACTGCGGGCACTGGACAAGATTCCTCCCAAAAGGGCTTATCTCTTTTCTTTTTTGTTTGAGTTATTTTCAATATTTTCCTGCAAATATTGTGTAATACCTTACTTATAGTAAAATGAAGCACAATGTCATTTTTTCTAATACAAAGTAGAATATGAGGGAAGAAAATGTACAATTTTGATTAAAATTATTTCCCACTGACCTAAGCTTGAGTGTTTCATGGAAAGTAAATAAACAAATGTTCTACACAGAAAAAAATATTTAAGTTCAGTTTCTATTTCTTTATAATCACTGTAATGCTCTCATTATTTTTTTTAATCCACTGATCAGATGCAGGGCAATATAATGTCACAGAGAGATGGGATGTAGCAACTTCTGCAGTGAGATTGTTCATTATGGCGAATTGAGTTTCTCAATGAAGCCATATAGGTTAGATGGCTCTGCTGATGGCTTGCCATAGCTACAGTAATTATTTGGAATCACAAGTGAGAAAAATAATTGGGAGTGTACTCTATTTGTGACAAAACATGTAAAAAAAAAAAGTAGATTCACAGAGTTCAAAAAGCCAAGCTCCACAATGCAATGTCAATTCAGAACTGTACTCACATCGGGTCTACTAACACCCCATTGACAAAACACGTCACGTGGTAAAGCTGAGTCAAGGAATGCAAATATGAAAATTTCTCCTGACAAGATGATGTCACAGATGTGAATGAGAAGTATTTCAATCTGCTGCAGTGAAAACTGTAAGTAAATAATACATGATAAGGAGACATTACTTGCACAGAAAAGTCGTGGTCATAGCATGATTTCTTAATTCAAGAAAACATCCATAATGATATGTAAATGCCATCACTGAACAATTTCTTTTTGCTAAAAATTTGTTATGGTTGGCATTGTAACATAGCATGTAACGTTACCAGTTGGGATGCAGGCATCCCATATTGTTGCCCCTTAGAATGCAAGCTGTTCCTATAGCTTTTCCTATGATAATGAATCTGGGAAAGCAGTGGAAGGTGGGCCAATTGTTCGGGCCCCTGCACAGATATGGGAGCAATCGGAAGGATACTCTGACTCCATGTTTTGGTCTGTGCCAGGCCTAGCCTTTGTGACCTGTTTCAAATGGGCCATATTGCACTGCTCTCCAAGGCCATAAACAGGGAGCTGTATGGAAAATGAAGCAGATGGGACATGAACCAGTGCTCATATGGGATCCTGGTTTTGGAAAAAAATGAGCCAGTACAATTATGATACTGGCCCCACAATTTTTTTTAATTAATGTTCGGCCAATGGCTTTTAAGAATTAATATGTGTGTTTTTAATGAAATTCTAGTTATATCATACAAAATCATCCATTACTATTTAAACATGTTGCTTTAATATTGTATTACAATAACGTCCACTTGGGTGAGGAGTGTTACACTTTCCTTTTTCCTTCTCATTCCACTGTTCCCTATCTTTCCTAAAGCAGTAATAATAATAGACACGATTTAGCTCTTCAGAATGTGGCTAGTGCCTTAGGAGTGCCCTGTGTGCTCCAGATGCAATAACTGCATTAGTTCAGTTAGATTCATTGTCAAAGAGGGAATCAAGGTAACTGCTGACGTCAGCGTCGCCCACACAAGGCTGCTAAGACAAATGAAAGAGTCATTTGTTCATTCAACATGTGTTTGATAACCAAGAACAATTTTGGAATTGAAGAAAAGAACATTTCAATAGTATAGACTTTCATGAAATCAAAAGCAAGTTCCATAAAAACCTAAAATCACAATAATTATCTAATGATGTTTCTCTTACAGTATTTAGGGAAAAATGAGTGTTGATTTTTTTTAACAGAAACTGAGGGACTGATACAATCAGGTAGTGTGTTGAAACAGTGCTTGTTATGCTGGCATCTATATGGGCACAGGTTCAAGTCCTGGCTGCTCCATTTTCAATTGAGGTTACTGCTGATATGCCTGAGACAGGGGTGGAAGACAGCCCAAGTGCTTGGCACTTGAACCATGTGGGAGACCAAGAAGAAGCTCCAGGCTCCAGACTTCAGGTTGGTCCAGCTTGAGCTATTGTACTCATTTGGAGTGTGAACCAGCAGAGGGAAGTTCTCTCTATAATTATCTCTGTATGAAACAAAGATGAAAGAGGATTTCTGCTCACAGGGTTTTATGTCTGTGCATCTACCTCTTAAATTCATAATTTCAACTGCTTACTATGTCCCTTACCTTACCATAAACTTATTGAAAGTAAGTATATTTCTTCATTAATTAGTAGTGTCATATAGACACTCAAAAATATTTGCTGAGTTACTGTATATGTTAATGTTGATGACATAACAAGCTGTTGAAATTAGTGTCAATAAACAAAGCTAAAACTTCACAGCCAAGATACTCTGTGTGTGTGTGTGTGTGTGTGTGTGTGTGTGTGTGTGTGTCCAGGCATTTTTTTCTGCGCATTGGTATATTTCCATTTCAACCCTCATTTAAAAATTCTGGGGTATATAAATTATTATCTCCGCTTTTTGCATGAAGAAACTGATTGGATGAAGAGGTTAAAAATCTTGTCTAAGCTTATCCAGCTAACTTGTGGCCAAAGTGGGGTTTGAACACAATTTGGTTTGAGAAAAAAACTTTTAACCCATGAGATACAAGTATATTCGTGGAGATTTTAAATGAAAAGAAAAGAATCCTGGCAGGATTCCAATTCCATGTCTTGCTGATAATTTATGTTGGCTCTCATCTCGTGGGAGTACCTGTGATGGCAGTGAAGCGGGCACTAGCGTGATTACTTAAATATCAGCAGAACAAATTGCCTTTTGATAGGAAAGAAAGACAGCGGATGAAGTGGTGAGCAGTCTAATAGGTCCAATGTCTACTAATACATCTACTCCTCTCATGAGACAGTTCATTGGTAACATCTTCAGTGATGCTTAGTCACTTAATGCGGTATGCAACAATGTAATTGAAACTTTCTCCACTGTTAAAAGATGATGTGTTGAGAAAGCAATGTTTTGAAATTTAAAAACATTTATTCAATTGAAATTACCATGATACTTTGAGAAGTGGAGTAGGTTATATACTGATTATCTTCTTTATTCTGAGCTGATAGAGAACTTGGTGTAATGTAAAATGTCAAATCTATAAATTGCTATTACAAATAAAATGAAGAAATATAGGGCATGCAAGCAGTGAGGTCAAGACCCTCTATTATGAACAAGAAGAGAAACTACTTCTTAATTTGAGAATGATGTATGAGAGAAGAGAACAGATTGATAAAAGTACCCAAATTCCTTTTTATTGACTAAATCAACATTAAATGTCCAAAAAATATGTGATTTTCCCCTGAATTTTTATAAAAATAATAATTTCATTTTATCTCAGAGGAGGAATTTATTTCAAGAGTATCAAACAAATAATGGCATATAAATATATATGGATACAATGCAACAGTTGTGGATAATAGCTAAATCTTATCTTCAAATCCTTGAGAAAATGAGAAAGAGACACAGGGACAGGGAAACAGAGAGAGAGGGAAGGAGAAAGTGCACACCGTTTTCTGAATTGCTCTCCAAATGTCCCAAAAAATCAGGGCTGCAACAAAGCCAGGATCTGGGGGTCTTAGGCCAGCTCTCTGGTGGGAAGCAGAAATACAACCATTTGAGCCAGCCACCTGTTGCTTCCCACGAGTGAGAAGATGGAGTCAGGAGTGAAGTTGGGGCTTGAAACTGGGCAAGCCAATATGGGTGTGCCATCCCAGGCAGTGTCTAACCTGCTAGGCAAAGTGTCCAGCCCCTCTCCCTACATTTAAATATGTGTTTATTTAACTGTTTGAGAAGAGAGAGTCAGGCAGAAATCAGTTACAACCTCTTAGTTCACTACTTAAACACAGAGCCAGACTGAAGCCAGAGCCAGGAATTCAAGCCAGGATTCCCACTTGAAAAGCAAGAACCCATTTATTTCAGCCTTCACCACTGCCTCCTGCTGTGCAATAGTTTAAAGCTGGAAAGGGGAGCCTGGCTGTTGGGTACAGTGTAATCATCCAAACCGCTTGGTTAATCACCTGCCATTCTCTTTAGGGGTGTGTGTGTGTGTGTGTGTGTGTGTGTGTGTGTGTACCTGTCTGTCCCCTCAGTTTAATTTCTAGGAAATGGCTATCTATTTCCTCCTGGAGAGAGTTGCAAGAGTCATGCAATGTCTTTCTATTAAACACTGTCCCTTTGAAAGACCTAGTAGAAGGATCACCTGCTGTTGAAGAAGACTCAAACTTAATAGAAGAGGAACTAATGCCACTAAGCAAATTTCACCAGAGACCTGAAAGATATCTAATA